AACTAGGGAGCATCATCATTTCATAGCAGAGTTTTCCAGATCGTGGTTCTGTACCCCCAGTGGATCCCTATCAGCACATATGAGAGTCTTTGGAGCCAAGTAGAAGGGAATAAGGGTGGAATAAAAAGTTCATATTTGTAATAAAGATTTAGAAAAAAGCTGAGGATACATACTCAAGGAAAATTAATATAAAATGGATGTCAGTTGGGAGAAGAATAAGTATGTACTCATGAATAAATCACTTTTATTGCTCTGCTTTAAAGGCCTATTTCTTTCCGTTCGAATGTATTTTCAAGTGTTATATTTTTAAAAATAGAGAGAGAGAGATGAGCTTTTTAAAATAAGGCAGTTTGTATTCTGAGAGGCCAATTTCGTTGGACCGAATGAGGCTTATCATAGACAGATGTACAAATGCCCAAGGGAATGGGGAAGCTTAAAGCAGAGCAGTAAAATTGTCAGTGAAAACCATTAATTGAGAAAAATAACTTTATGGAACTTATCACACAGGCCATTCAGGCAAGCTTCTGCCTGGTTTCCTGGCCCCTCCTAGACCAGGAGTAGAAGAGAAATTGGGGCGGCGAGGGGGCGGGCAGCAGGAGAACAGGGAATTGAAGAACAATAAAAGTTGATGGTGATGTATGCTTACAAATTATCAGCACAGTCAAACATATCTCCAGCTTAAAAAAGAAAACAACAACAACAACAAAATCGAAGGCAAACAGAAGTCTTTACCCTGGGCTTTTGACATTAAGCATCTGTCAACATACAAGCAGGGCTTGCTTAAGTTAAAATATTTGTTATAAATTAAAAACTTAAAAAGTACTAATTAAAGCTGAAAGGGAAACCAGGGCAACTTAAACAATGACAGAGAACAGTTAAGCTATTAATAAACAAAGTATGTGATTATATTGATTTACTTGTATTATTTATGTAAATATACTAATTACAATCACTATTTATACTTAGTAGTTTTGCTAAGGAGCTTAAGGCATAACTAAACTCTCCAAAAGTATGCGATGATCTTTGACTTGGTGACAATGCGTATAACTGGCTGTTTGGGCCACAGGGTACATGTGGCTAAGGCCCCCTCTCCATGAAGTGGCAGTTTGCCCTCAGTGTGGGCCACATACCTCCTAGGAAATAAGCAACCTCTTAAGTGATGCAAGATAATTGAAAAAATGAAGAAAACGCTAGAGAGAAGAGGAAATGGGTATTGAGGAAACTCAATTAGGGGACATAAGGGGAGTAGTGAATAAACAGAACTCTGACAACTGAAGTTGTAGAGTTTGCTAGACACAGCGAGGTGCGACTGTAATGGAAAAAATTACATATTCATTTGATAGGAAGTTCTCGCATCATCTAGACAGGTTTATATAGAAAGATTTCAGGAGGAACTAGAGAAACGAGAGAGCAGGTATAAAAGTATAAAGAGTATTCCTTAGGCCATCTCTCCAGGGCTGTGGCTATTAGGCCACTGAGACCATCTTCACTCTTTGCCTGTCATGACTTAGAGCCTTCAAATATGAGAGTTCTCTCTAAAAGGAGAAACATTCTTAGGGAAACAATTTCAAATCTGCATGTATTGCTGTGAGCTTGGATGTTTTCTATTATTGAATAGGTTTGAGTTTTCAGATCCCACCCCTGAAGAAACACATGATTTCTTCTTAGGTTTTCAATTCTAGTGCCACTACTTCGTTACGGCTACTCCATTTAACCACCTTTTGGTGTGAACCATTGATGGAAGATGGGAATAAAGCCTCGATCTGATCACTAATGCTTTACAGTTTTGAAGATTGTTTATGAAAATTATACAAATATCGAGAAATGCTCGTACTATTAATTATAATAAAATTCCATACAGAACAAAGCAAGTTAAAAATATAAACACCAGAGGACAGCCAGGTACCATTTTAATTAAACTGCAGAGGTTTTCCCATCTTGTGTAAAGACATGGAAAAAAAAAATCTTTTTAAAAAATTCTTGACAGCTGGCTCCACAATTCCTCTTTGGGAAGGGTGAGGAGGGAGCTATCTCCTTTGTGGAAAGCTGCTGATGAGCTTTTAGAGAGAGATGACACCTTGAGGGCTTGGATGCTAAGGGGCACCTCCACCTGAGAGGAGGGGAAACCTGCTCTACTGGGGATTAGAGAAAGTTTGTTGTTTCTGCTCCTGCAAGGGAAGGGGAGGAGGAGCGGATGGGGGACGGGGAAGAAAGAGGAGAGAGAAGTCGGCCAGGTGGAGAGAAGCTGAGATGAGGTAGGCGAGGGAGGTCAGGAATGTGGGAGACAGAAACACAGCCAACCCAGCAGATGTATTTGCTATTGTTGGGAAGTAAACCCCGCCTTCCATCTCTACAGTAAATCCTGCCCAGTTTACACATGGAAACAAGATCTCTGATGTCTAATAGGCCAAGAAAATGAAAGCCTCCTGGGTCAATTCACAAAAACCCAGGGAGTGTGAGCTTCGGACTTCCCAAGCTCTGGAACTGGACTCAGAAGACCTCAACTGACATCTTGTTTCACGTTCTTTTTTTTCTTTTTTCTTTTTTACCAAGTTATGTATAAAAACAAATGCCTTTTGTCCCACACTGAACTTTGGCTTTGAGGTTGGAAGTCCTCACTTTCTAGGTTCTGATTTGGGCACAGATTTCAAAAAGCTTGCTGTTTCAGGGCATTCACTGTAATAATACAAGTAACAAAAAGCTTTAATTACCTGCTTACTCTAATAGCTTTAGATAAGACCTTATCTTTTCCTGGGCCCTGCTGATTCCAGCCTCTGCAGTTACCTTCTCCACCTCTTTCCTAGATCACTTGATTCTTAGTGTCCTGATTATTTTAAATGCTTCTTTAACCTTTTTCACTTTATTTTTCTCTCCGGGTCAAACAGGAGGGTAAAAGGAAGATACTCTAAAGTAATTCCTGGTTCCTGGCATGGAAAGAATGATGGTTTCAGAATCAGGAGACCCAGGTGTCTAGCGCTACCGTTAACTTAGCAGTCATTCAGCTTCTTTGAGTTTTCATTTTCCTGTGTATAAAATGAGAGTTTGGATTCCAACATCTTTCAGGTTCATTCCAGGCAACAGTCTGCATCGACAGACCCCACAGCTTCCTACTGTATCCACTCCCCTCTCTCCTGATACCTGAGGGACACAGCTATGACTAAAGTGACTTTACGCAGAATAACCAAAAGAATCCATTATATTTATGAGTCCTAATTATACACCAATAAAAACTGGTTTCTGTCTCTCATCTTTTCCTTGAACTTCAGAAAATATAATTAATTAGAAGAATTTACGAAACAAAGTTTATGCAGTGGTCTCCTCGCAGGCAATCTTCAATAGATTTCTTTCAATTCTGGTGAACTCCCCAGGTGTTTGTTTTATCGTGTTTGTTTGGTTTGGATGCGCAGAACTGAAAATATCTATAGGAGAGATTTTTAATTATTTAGTTCAATCAATGAAATTCCTAAGAATTCCTTGGGAAGAAATAAGAAAGAATATGGGCTTTACAGTCGGAGAAGCCTGTTTTTTTGTTTTTTTTGTTTTTTTTACTTAACAGTGAGGCTTTGGATAGTTTCTTAAACTCTCTGAGCCTCCATTTCTTCATCTGTAAAATGGGAATGATGATACCTCCCTTGCAGGATTGTTGTCAGGATTAAATGCCAAGTGTGTATTAGGCACAATACATGTTTGTGTTCTCCCCCATTAAATACCATCTGACTTTCTCTTTGCCGACCAAAAGAGCATGGATTTGGGGCTTAAACAGCCTGGGTTCATTGCCTGCTACCACAATTTTAGTAGCTCACTGTTTGGCCAAATTATTAACATCTCAGAGGCTCTGTTTCTCGTCTGTAAAATGGAGTTAGTAATAACACTGACCTTACAGGGTTAGAAGGTGGATGTAAAGCATTTAGCACAGTGCCTAGCTCAAAGGAAGTGTTCAGTAAAGAGTAGCTAGTAGGGGTAATGACAGCAGTAGCCACAGCCAAAATCACACCAAATCACAGTCTGGGATCGCAAGGAAAGATGAGGCGGTGCTGATGGCAAGCAGCTGCTGAGAGGCTGATAAGGGGTCAGCCAGGCAGCCAGGAGACTCCAGCCTATGAAATAAGCTTCTCTTTCCTGCTGTTACCTTTACTACCCCCAGTTTTCTCTATCTTCCCGCTTCGTCTTTCCTTTGTCTCAGAGTTTCTGCTGTGTTGCATCCATAGCTATATGAAATGTAAGCCACATATGTTCTTTTCCTGCATGGCCTCTGTACCGTCTTGTGTCTGTACACATGCTCACGCATTTATTCCTCATCAATGTTGGGTTTTTCAGTCCACACTTCTAGATCGAACGGTGAGTGTGTGTCGAACTGTGGTGCCATGAGTTCTGTGCCGTGTGCATGCCACCGCTTACTAAATGAAATCTTGGTTCTTAATTTTTGATACCTCAGAGAAAAAAGGCCTAAATGCTAAGAATCCTGGGGGCAAAATGAACTCTCAGGAAAGACCCCACTTAGAGTCTTTGCATCTCTCCTTTGTCTCTAAAAGAGCGTAGCTAACTTGTCTTGTCTTGCTGCCTCTTGTTTTATCATGTTTCACATAATAAATTACCCTGGCATTTCTAATAGAAGCGATTCTACCTGCTTTTCCTTCACTGACTGTTTAGACTGGGGTAAAATGGCTACTTGTTTTTATTTAAGAGTAAAACACAAAATATTTGACACAAATAGGCTTTTTTTCAGAATCTAGTAGAAGACAAGAACTGTGTTTACAAATTTTGTAATAGTATTATTTATATACATATTATGACAGATATTTTAATCACTATTACTCCTGGAGTTTAAAATATATATGTGTATATATACGTAGTACATTTGTGGGTATAACATTTAGTAATGTATAACAACTACAGTAGAAACCAATTTACTAAAACATGGATGCTTTGAAATATGACTTCACAATCATTTCTAACAACCAGTTGAACTTGATGGCCTATGAACATTTTGCAACACGTCCCTACCTTATTTTATGCACTTGGGAGACTGAATGGTGCCATCACACAGTTTTGGATTTAAATTTCAAAACTGGCTAGAGTTGCTTTGCCTTCCTCTGAGGCTGACAGTTTTCCCCAAAGATTACTTGAAAGATAAACCAAGAATAAAGGCCTGTGGCTTCTTTAAAACCGTGTTGATTATTTCTCCCTAACACCTCACCTCTGTGTCTCACAGAATCAGAGTGAGCTAAGAGAAAAAGGGAGCACCCTCTCAGGGGTGTTGACCTAAGCAGAGGCCCCCTGGAAGGGTGATCAGACAGGTCCGAGCATCCTTGTGGGCTCCTAGGCAGACAGGGGCACCGCAGGGGTCCTCCTCACAGAATTCCCAGACAGAAAAGTCCATGAAGCAGCTCCATCCTGGGGTTAAGCATTTACTCACCTGAAGCCAGGATGAATAGTTGTCACCCACCTTAAACTCTCCTCCCAGAAGGAAACCCCTCTAGGCAGGCCCTCCCTTGCCATCTTTTCTATACTCCAAACCGATATCCCCAACAGCGAGCCTTACTTATTGCTCAGCCCCAGCCTATAGGCAGTTTGCAGGGATAAGTTGAAATTGTGTTTATATGATTAAAACAAAAAACTTTTGATTTTATGATTTTTGAGCACAATGATCTATATTTATATACACTATTATCATATCACACCTGAACTTGAGTCATATTAAAGTGTTGAGGGTAGATTTTTTTTAAAAGAGGGAGGTGTGTGGGGTCTTCCACAAAATAAAGATTGTCACCTTCTTTACCTTTCTTTACCACCTCAAAGGCTTGGGAAGTTTAAGTGAAATAATAAATGTGTGACTCTTAGCACCATGCCTGACATTCAGATATTTGCAATTATTATTGTTGATGATCGTAGAGGTGTTTCTAGAAGAATGATTGGCACACACAAGGGCTATCATTGATACTATGTTTATCCGTTTCCTATATCCACATACTTTTTTACCTAATCTGTTCTCTTAAGTGATTCGTAGGTTTATCCAATGGTGTTATTTGTATCAATGATCATCTGCTAATTTATGCAAATAACATGAATGAAAAACAACAAAAAAAATCAATTGGTCAGTGACAGACACAGATATATATACAAGCTGGCAACTACAACTTACGACCTTATTGATAGTCCTTCTTGGGCCTGACCCTCCCGCAGGGCCCCACTCTTCCGAAGGTCACTCAACCTCAGTAGCCTCTCACCATTCTCACTTACTTTGTTGTGCCCAATAAAATGATACCTAGCCTGAAGATAGGAATTTTCCATCCCTGTTAACAAGTCCACCTGCACGTTGGTTTCAGCCATTGCTCTGAAACATAGGAAAGGAGGAATCATTTATATGTTTATTCATTTATCCAACAAGAATTTTACAGGCACTGGACTAGGCATTAGGGGTACAACTGTAACAAGATACAGTCCCTGCCCTTCAGCTGCTTACAAGCTGGAGAGGGAAAGCGTCCAGTCGAGCAAAGGGTAACTCCTAGGTACCTGGGTTGGCGGTTGTTAAACTGTTCCTGCCCCCACTACTGAGACTGCGAACACAGCAGGACGTGCTAGGTGTGAACATACATCCTGGAGGTACCTGCGGGACTGCAAGTGTACAGCTTCAGAAGAGAGCTGAATATATGACCCAAGAACTCAGGAAGGAGAGTGAGGCCAGAGAGAGAAATCCAGCAATTGAAGAGTTAGACATCAATTGCCCCCAAAGTGGGCCAAGAACAGAACCCTGGAGAATTCTAATGTGTAAAGCATGGCCTCACATTTCTCTTCTCCTGTGTCCTTCCAATTAAAGACAGGATAACAACATGCAGAGATATTATTGGGGAAATATCTCTAGAAAAAGAACAGTAAGTTCAACTGATAAGAGAAGTATATCGAAATTACCTGATTCCATTCCTCTTCATAGGAACAGGTTGAAGAAAGGCATACTCTTTGCTCTAGCATTACTGGTAGATTGCATGGCTGTCGGCACAGGCTACAGCAGATAGCCCTGCACATATGTAAAGATTATTTATATCAGCATTGTTTGTAAGAGCAAAAGATTAGGAACAGCTCAAATATTTGCCAATAAGTCTTATCTATAAATGGACTATAATACAACCATTGGAAGGTTGAAGAAGTTCTTTAAGTACTGATTGAATCACTTCGGTATTTACAAGTGTTTTAGGGGCTTTTTGCCAGGAACCAGGGGCTCATACCCAGCATTGGTATAAAAAAGGTTTCAAATTATTTCAACTAGATCGTCAGATGCTCTAGACCATGTTCCAGGACTATCAGATTTGTACTCTTTTATATGACTTCCCCATGTTTTCCCCTTAAATCTTGTTTTTCTCTTGTAATGATGGACATTAAAGTCTTATAATGAGAAGGGTCTGTGAACTTGCTTTCAGGGACAGCAAGGAAGGGTGGACATAAGGAAGCCATCTTCCCAGAGTCCATCTGGAAAGGAAGAGAAACCCAACAGTCTAGATAGGTGGTGAAAACTACCCAGAGGAGGTATGTGCGAGGCTGAGGGGAGGAGGTCCCTGGGACCTGCCACAGCAAAAAAGGACAGCTTCCAAGGGGCCTGCCTGGGCCCGTGAACTTCCTCGGGGGACTTAGGAGAAAGAGTTTCCTCAAATTCAGTGTTAAATAAGCTTTGCACAGTAATAGGATTAAATCTGAAACTGTTACAGGTAAGATGTGACTAGCCCATTCTTGTATCACAGAGAGCTAGGCTTTTTCTTCATTCAGCAGGTATTATTGTATTTTAATTGTTACTAAAATAGCACAAAGGAACACTGCTATTTGTTGTCTTACCTTATGCTGCTCTTAGAACAACACTGAAAATGCTTACTCTGCGCTGACCTTAACACAACACCAAAAACCAGGGAAGATTATTTACTCCCATTTCTTTCCTCCTTCCTCTTGGATTCTAACAACTTGCTATGTTTAACCCCAGTTTTGCCTGCTCTTTCCCAGAAAAATCATCAGCAAACATGTACGGATCTACTTACGATAGGCAGGCCGCCGCAGATTCAGTGAGATAAAAGATTCCAGCTTCGCTCTCAGGGAGCTTGCAGTCTCATCGGGAGACAAATAATTACATTCAGAAACAAATATTAATGCCCAAGAACATATGATCAGTGCTAAGTCAGAGGCCTCTATAATAATGGTCTCAGGAATCCAGCTGAGGCAGACACCCCTGAGGGTCAAGATAAGCTTCTTGGAGAAAGTGGGCCTCGAAGGACAGATTAGATTTAGAGAAAGAGTAAAGAGACTATGTGAGGTAAGACCAGTCAGGGCGATGCATCTTTGTGGAATAAGAGGGACCTGGTTCTCTGGAGAAGAGGACAGGAGAGAGCAGTCATTGGCTAATGTAATTTCTGATTCAATAAAAGTCTAAAGTGGGATTTTCCCCAAATTAATAGAAACCCTGTGTGTTGCAAGCATATCCATCAGAGCATTAGAGGGATGTAGTAAGTGATCTGACTGCTGGGACTCGCCAGCTGAATATGGAGTAAGATGGAGTAATAGTTCAGGGAGAATTACAGTATCTATGTATCTGCTCGACCTCCGTATGTCTTTCTGCACATAGTAGGGGTGAGGGTGAATTTACAAGTGCCCTGAATTTACACGTGCCCTGCAAGCTCAGCTTCTATTATTTCTTTCTCTCGCTCTCTCCATTCTTTCCTCTTCCCTTTCCTGCTCACGGCCAGATGTTGAAGAGAAATCATTTCTCACTGTGAGTTTTGGTTGGAACGTCAACCTGTGCCATTTGCCTTTTTAGAGAGAATGTGTGCATGCACAGATTAATAGGGATATAAAGAATGGAAACTCTGCAAGTACTCACCTGGTCTAAGAATCACAAGTCCTTGGACCTAGCTCTAACGCCTTTTTGTTCTGTGAACTTGGTCTGGCACTTAAACTACCTGTTCTTGGTTTCATTTATTTATAAAACGGAGATGTTAATACCTCCCTACCTACCTCACAGAATTTTCTCGAGGTGCAAATGAAATTATGGTTATGAAAGCACACTCTGGAGACTAATGGAGTTATTATTGGTAGCTCAGCGTGAAGATTGCATGGGGATAAGGGGTGGCGAAATTGGGAAGTCTCAATAAATCGCACCTAGTCCTGCGATTTTATATAATTGTTTTACATCATTAAAATAAGTTTAATTACATAGCTTCTTCTGATATTTTAATGACTCTCACTCTAATGATATCTTTTTCCTCCCTAGATATCCCTAAGGGCAGAACCCAGCTCCCTTCTACAAGTTCCAGCTCTTCTCGCCTGGCCTCCTCATCGGTTAGCGGGGCTCCCAGCCACCGAGGCAACAACGAAAGTACTCATGCAGCATCTTCAGAGACACTCTGGGCTTCAGTCATTACCCATCCAGGCTCCAGAGCTGAAGCTGATTTAAAAATGTAAAAAAGATCTTTTTAGAATTGACAAGATGCCCTCCACGTTGGAGATTTGGATGTTACTTGGCTCCTCTATTGGAAACTGTCGGTTCAGGCACCTTAATGTGGAAGTGAATTCTACAGTATTTCGGCAAAAGAGATTCATGACATCAATGGTGACATATTTACAAATTTAGATAGAAATGCAAAGATGATAGGTACCATGGAGTTGATAAAAGGATATGGGACAGCACCGTTGGTAATATTGGGTATATGAGATAGGGTCCCAGAAGGACACAGACGGCCCACTCCCAAGGCTGCTCAAGTAGTTTCATGATGGGGCTCTTACCATGCTGTCTTATTTTGCTAGGCCTTCCATAACAAATTACCACTATCTTAGTCCGTTTGGGCTGCTGTAACAAAAATACAATAGTTAGGTGGCTTATAAACAGCAGACATTTATTTTCTCACAGTTCTGGAGGCTGGAAGTCCAAGATCAAGGTATCAGGGTCGATTTCCTCTGAGGCCTCTCTCCTTGGCTTGCAGATGGCTGCCTTCTCGCTGTGTCCTCACACCGTCTTCCCTGTTTCCCAATCTCTTCTACAAGGACAAAGTCGGATCGGATTAGGGCCCATTCTAATGACCTCATTTAACCTTAATTACCTCTTTGGGGACCCTATTTGCAGATAGTCACATTCCAAAATCCTAGGGATTAGGACTTCTACATAGGAATTTAGTGGGAACACAGTTCAGCCCATGACACACACTGTGGGCAGGGTTAAAAACACCAAGATGAAATGGCGACACACCTAGGAACTAGGAACAGTGGATGCCTTTACCATCCTTTGTCCTAAAGAGGCAAAAGGGAAAGGGTGTGTTGTTCCTAGAACCCAGGGAGAGCTGTAGCCAGCCATGGGAGAGGGGCTGCCCAACAAGATGTGGGCCACGTGGAGGACGGAAGCAGCCACCGTGGAAACCAAGCCCTGCTAGGGAGCAAAGAGGAGAGGACCCGAACCTTTCTCTCCCCACCCTTTGACACTCCAGCAGCTCTTCCCTTTGGTCAAAACTATCTAGAAGTCAGACAGCAAAGACACCTGGGGGTTGCAGCTCTTACATGTCAGCCTCCAGGGCAGGCAAGGGAGCTGAGAAGTGTGACCACGAATGGGCGCAAAGGGGTAGGATGTGAGTGGAACAGTGAGGAATAACCAGCACAGTGGAGGGAGATGTATACATTTCCAAAGGAAGAATTAGGATTGATACTCAAGCAATGGCTGAGCTTTAAAGTTGCTGGAAAACAGAAAATGTTACTTAGCTGCAACAATATTAGTCATACACTCTGAATTAAATGACCTACTCATGTAACCATTTCAAGGTCCCAGAAGTTACTATTCTAGGATACTTATATACCTAAGTAAAGCAGGATGGTAGAAAAACAAATATGTTTGTCAATCATGTAATAATGAACACTTATATTCTTATACTACATACTGTAATGTGTATATATGTGAATGGTTTAAAATAATGGCCTGACAGGATGGCCAAGGATACAGTGGTTTGGATGTCCAGATAATCAATGGAGGACAAAACATGACCAACTTACAATTGATTAGTTTGCACCTGAAGCTCACTCAGGGCTCTGAGAAAGAAAAGAAAACACATGTGGATGAGACATTGGTGTTCTTCCCATGGGCAAGCAGATGGCTACCATTTAGGATTTCTTCTTCCTGGAGTCTGATCCCTCATAGTCTACCCCCAGGAGCCAGGGGCAGCTGTAAAAGCTGGGGTGGCCTGCAGCTCCAGGATTCTGTCCACCTTTGTCCAGTGAACCACTGGGATTATTGCAGGAGCCAGTCCTGTTGTCGGCAAATGTTTGAAAGTGCCAGTCTAGAGTATGTATCCAGCCCTTTCTGGAATAAGCTGGTATCTTCTGGGGCAAGGAGAAAAAAGGTCCTGTCCAGTATGAGTGGCTGCCTCCTAAGCTGCATTTGATTTATCTCTTCCTGGGAAACAAACTATTCCCAGACTTTGTTGCTTACAACAATGTATTGTTCTCATAAATCTACAATTTGGGAGGACTCTGGGAAAGAGCCTGTCTCCGATCCACACAGCATCCTCTGGGTCCTCCCAACAGAGGGCTGGAAGATGCACTTCCAAGATAGTATAGAGACAGGGCTGGAAAGTTGGTATTGGCTGTCCACTGGTCACTCAGGGCTCATGTGGACCAGAATTCTTATAGCACAGAGGCTAAGTTCTAAGGAAGAACGTCCCAAGAGAGAGCCATCTGGAATCTAAATCACCTGTTTTGTCCTAGCCTTGGAAGCCTCAGTGTGTCACTCCATCATCCTCCAGTGGCTTATCCGATTTTAAGCAAAGGGGGCATAGACTCAGGATTGTTGCAAGGCTCTGGAAGAACGTGTCAGATGGGAAATATCATTGTGACCATCGTGGAATGGACTCAGGATGGTTCTTTGTGTGACCCTTACCTACCCATCATTGGTCATAGCATAGTTAAATGAACTGTGTACATCCCTGTTAGTCTGCCCAGGCTGCAGTACAAATACCACACACCGTATGGGGGTGGGCTTAAACAACAGAAATTTATTTTCTCATGTACGTATGGGGGCGGGCTTAAACAACAGAAATTTATTTTCTCACAGTTCTGGGGGCTCTAAGTCCAAGATCGAGGTGTCGGCAGGGCTGGTTGGTGTCAGGTGAGTGCTCTCTCCTTGGGTTACCTTTTCACTATGTGCTCCCTATTGCCTTTTTTTTTTTTTTTTTTTTTGTGTGCCTGTGCAGAAAGAGAGGGAGGGAGGGAGAGAGAGAGCGAGCGCAAGCATGCATGCACAGGCAAGCACTCCCTGGTGTCTCTTCTTTATTTTTATTTTTATTTTTTTATGGCAGAAAAGAAAAGCTTTATCTGAAGCGATAGTACACTTCCAGACGCAGAAGCAGTCCTGAGCAAGAGACACTTGGCTCAAAGGCCCTTGGTGTCTCTTCTTAAAAGGACGCTAATCCTATCAGTTCAGACTTCACCCTTATGACCTCATTTAACCTTAATTGCTTCCTCAGAGGCTCCATCTCCAATACTCTAGGGGTTAATACTTCAGCATATGAATTTGAGGGGACATAAGCATTCAATCTATAACATCCCCCATAGTAATATGAATTAGATGACAATTGATAAAGATAAATTGATATTCATTAATTCAAAAATGAATTAATTAATTCAGACTCTCTGCTAGGCTCTGGGAGTACAGATAGAAGAAAAAAATTGTTCCTGCCTTTAATGAGTTTATAAGGGCAAGGGAGGCAGAGCAGCCATTACAATACAGTGATAGCTGCAAGGAGAGCGTGTGTGACAACTCCGAGAAGAGGCATAGAAACCACTGCACAGAGATCAGAAGTGATGTCCAAGGAGAAACCAAGGATGAGTAGCACTGAGTGGTAAATAGGAGATGGGACAGAGAAGAGGAAACATTCTGGAGGGAGAGAAGAATAAGATGTGCAGAGAGCCAAGGCGAAACTATGGCGGCTACCATCCTGGGTTGCCCGGTTTAGCACTAAAAGTCCTACATCTAAGGCAGGCCTCAGTCACTGGGGAACTGTAAATAACCTAGTATAGCTGGCACACAGTGGAGCTGGGGTCGTGGCAGGACTGATGAGAGAGAAAGCTGGAAAAGTGGGCAGGAGCCCCAACAGGAACTAAGGCCCACTTGGGAGATCAGACTTTATCTTGAAGGCCATCAAGCAATCAAAAAGCGATCTTAAAAAGGGCAGTGACTTGCTCAGCCTTGCATTTAGAAAGGTCTCTAGCTGCCATGTAATTAAGAAGAGGGACAGTACTAAAAGCCAGTTAGGAAGCCATTGTGGTTTTCCAGGGAAGAGATGATGGTGACTTAAAGTAAAATAATAGAGGGGGATCGAGAGAACCAGAAGATTTAAAATATCTGAAGGAGAAGTAACAACTCAGAAACATAGATGTGGGGCTTGAGTGACAGAAATCAAGGATGACTCCCAGGTTTCTGGCTTGGACAACTGGAAGAAGTCTTGGGAAGTAATTAGGGTGGTTTGGAAATCCCTCCCCCCACACCCAACATGAGCACTCAAACAAAGCAGTTATTCTTCTGCTCCCATACAGCTCTTGTTGACCTAAAAATCTGAGTTATTGTGCAACTGACCCTGAAGCCTCAGGCGTAGCCATGAGACTTACAGGAACTTCAGGATAAGGAGAAGGTTTGGGACAAGAAGGAGAAAAAAAGTGGGCATTTATTACCCTAGACACTTCCTAAACAACTTTCGTACTCTAGCTTATTTAATCTTCACAGAATCTTATGAGGTAGGTAGGTGGGCATTGTGATCCCCGATTCATAGCTGCAGAATGGAGGATAAAGTCTTGTGCCACAGGTGGCCACGACTACACAGCAGCAAGCTGGGTGTGTTTGACGCTAAAGAACTGCTCTTTCCACACTCTTCTTAAAACATATATTTTAAAAAATAACTAGTTTCTACCTGATTGGAAAGTTTGTCACATCTACTGCCCTGCCTTGATCCTGTCTTCATTCAGCCTTCGAGAAGGATGCAGACCAAGGGCAGGACTCTACCCACTCCGGGCTCTAAGAGGCCAGCTGAAGGCTGCTCCTGGAACAGAGATCGCAAGAGAGCTTCTTAATCTTTTGTAACTGGTCCCCACCCTGATTAGACTCGCAAAAACCCTAAAGCCAGAGAATCTATATAGTTATCTTTGTGAGCATCCAGGCCAGGAAAAGCTCTATAGACAATGTCCCAGGCAACAGCCATTTTAGGGAAGGAGGGAATATTGGGAGATGAAACTCAAGAGAGGGAGCAGTGAGAAGGACTACAGGGAAGAAAGGCACACAGGAGGAGTTCCCAGGGCCTCCCTCCAAAAGAGAGAGAGTGCACATGTGAGCTTGTCTAAACCTTAGAAGGGGCTCTGGAAACCTGACAGCTAGACCTGTGTAGCATCTACGTGGAGGCTGCCCAACGTCAGCTCAAGCTTTTTCCTAACCAGCCAGGTTTACATTTTAGTGTGAATTTTGACTTACCTCCCCTGAAATTTTAATCCTCTGTATTCACGTAGTAATCTATCCATTTTGCATACAGTCTTTTCCTATTGTTATTTCTGCATTTTTTAATTCTCCTACCCCTTCTAAATTGGGAATTCTTCAAAGAATCCCAGTTTTACTAGGACTGTACTTCCACATTTTCTTTTATGCAGTAGGCCCATGACTGGAGTTTGACTGTTGTCATTGGAATATCATAAGACGATCTGAACTTTTCATTTCTCAGCTTCTTTAGTCGCTAACACTGCAGAGAAAGGACAAAAGAGGGCGCTCCTTCCCTTCTTCTGCGAGTCCAGAGCGCTGAACCATTTCTGCCCATTTTAGGTCTTGAAAATTCGGACAAGACTGATGTTGGTGAAAACACACTTTTTACTACTATTGGGGAGAGGCTTTGGGGAGGTTTGAATATTTATACTGACACCTTTAGGGAAATATTTATTCTGCTCAGGTCTTTGATTCCATTCAAATCAATAAAGCAAATATTCATCCAGTCGGTTTATGAAGAACCCACAGCCTAAGGAAGAAACATATATTTAAAACAGTAACCGAACACTTTACACCCATTAGGATGGCTATTATTGAAAACACAAAATAACTAGTAGTAACAAGGATGTAGAGAATTGTAACCTTTGTGTATTGTTGGTGGGAATGTTAAAAAAACAGCAACAAAAACAGCTGTTATGGAAAACAGTATGATGGTTTCCAAAAAAAAAACCCCAGCAATTCCACTTCTGGGTATATGCCAAAAAGAATTGGTAGCAGGGACTCTAAGAGCTATTTATACACCTATGTTCATAGCAGCATTATTCACAGTAGCCAAAAGGTAGATGCAACCTAAGCTTCCATTGACAGATGAATAGATAAACAAAATGTAGTATATACATACAGTAGAATATTATTAATCCTTAAAAAGGATGGAATTTCTGATACATGGTACACAGTGGAAATGCAAATAAAAACCACAATGAGACTACCTGAAACCTGTTAAAATGGCTACCACCAAAAAGACAAGTTTTGGTGAGAATATGGAGAAAAATGAACCCTCATACACTGTTGGTAGGAATGTAAATTGGTGCAGCCACTAAGAAAAACGATATGGAGTTCCCTAAAAAAAAATTAAAAATAAAACTACCATATGATCAAGCAATCTTACTTACTAGGTATTTATCCAAAGAAAATGGAAACAGGATCTCAAAGAGATACCTGCACTCCTATGTTAACTGCGATATTATTTACAATAGTCAAGATGTAGAAACAGACAAAGTGTCCCGCACCAGATGAATGGATAAAGAAGATGTGCTGTATGTATACGTGGAATATTATTCAGCCATGAGAAAGAAGGAAATCCTGGCATTTGCAACTACATGGATCTACCTCGAGGGCATTATACTAAGTGAAATAAGGCAAAGAAAGAAAGACAAAAATACTGCATGGGATTTGTATATGTAGAATCTAAAAAAAAAAAAAGTCAAACTTATAGAAACAGAGTAGAAAGTGGTTACCAGGGGCTGCGGGGTGGGGGAAATAGAGAGGTTGGTAAAAGTGTACAAACGTTCAGCTATAAGATCTGAAGATGATTATGGTGACTATAGTTAATAACAGTGTTGTTTAACTGAAATTCTCTACGAGAGTAGAACTTAAATGTTCTCACCAAACAAACAAAAATACTCTATTTTAAAAAGATTCCCAGGTATTTCTTATGTCTTTTGATGTTTGACAAACACTACTGTATGTCATTCTGTTTTTTCCCAGGTGCTTTCCATGGTCAACATAGTGAGTTGGAAGAAAAGGTCATTATTTTAGAAGTTTTCACCAAGTAGAGAGTCAATTGTTTTTTTAAGGCTAGTTGGGGTTTGTATGTACAGGCATGAGCCAGGAGAGAGTTCCAGGGAGATAGAATGGTTTATGCGAAGCAAAAAAAAAAAAAAAAATGTGAAAGTGAACAGAGATTAGACAACTTTGAAGTCAAGGATTCATGAAGGGGAGTAGTAGTGATAAGGTTGGAAAAACCCTGAATAAAAGGCCAAAGTATTTATTCAGGAGTGCAGTGTTTTCTCTAACTTGTTCATGATGAAATTTTGATATATTTCATTCCATCACCGAAAAGAGAAACAATTTTTAAGAAAGATTACGACTATACAATTAACGTGTGTTATAAAAATCACGACTCCCAGCACACGTGCCCGTGAAAAAATCAAGCTGTTGAAGTAAATGTGAACTGCTGTTGCCAAATCTTAGTTATTTATTTGCTGCTTGTTTATTCAGTTTGTCATCTGCTAATGCTAGCAGATAAAAGCTGGGATTCTTACTACTATGGAAAAACAAGCATAGGGAGAAAAAACTCACAAGCTGAGGAAATTCAATCCATGAGATGTTCTTTTCTCTGTGAATTGAAGAAAGGTCCTTGTTATTTGATATGAGGCAGACCACCCTGGTTCAGCTCATTGAACATCAGACTTCCTGGGCGATATGGCGTAAGCCCCGCTGTGGACCGTGGGAAGAAGGCCCTGAAAGGATAAATGTGTGCTTTTAGGCAGATTACTCTGGTAACCGTATACAGGATGGGTTGCTGAAGGGAGCGACCAAGACAGGAAGACCAGTTAGTAGATGACATTAGTAAACAGTGGTAATCCAGACTTGAGATGGAGTAATAGGAACTTATGTTTACACAGTACTTTATGGAATACAAATTCTTTTCATAGACACTCCTCAAAATGATTATGTGAAGTAGGAAGTGTCATTAAAGAAAAAAAGGCGAAAGTTTAATTTAAAAGGTGGCTATTTGAGAGATATTTAAAAAAATAATAATTGACAGGACTTAGTGAGTGGTGGGAAGGGGTGGGAGGGAAGAGAGAGGAATCGAAGATAGTCCCAAAGCTTTTGAACTTGGGTTATTGGGAGGATGTTGCTGCTCTTATCACAAGCCTAAAGGAAAAGAAATTTGGTGGAGGTTGGTAATGGTAAATTTTCTTTTTTCTTTTGAAATAATTTCAAACTTAGAATAAAGTTATACTGAAATATACGAAGTAACTACCGTATTCTCTTTGCCCAGAGACTTATTCAACTTATGCCTGTTGTCTCAATAACATCCTTTATAAAAAAAAGGATCCAACAGTTCACACACTTGCACCCAATCGTCATGTCTTTCAAATCTCCTTCAGTCCAGAGAAGTTTCTCAATTTTCCTTTACTTTCATGGCTTTGACTTCTTTTTAAATACATCAGGCCATTTTGTAGGCAGTCCCTCATTCGGGGTATGTCCAATGTTTCCTCATGATTAGATGCGTGTTATGCATCTTTGACTGCAATATCATAGAAGCGACGGTGTTCTCAGGGTGCCGATCAGATGGCACACGTCAGTTTATCTCATTGCTTTGGTGTTAATTTTCATGATTTGATTAAAATGGTATCTGCCTGTTTTCTCCACATTAAAGTTACTCCCCCCTCCCTAATTATTTGTGAGGAGATACATGGAAAGGGTGCAGGCAAGGCTGGCTTCATGGCAGCACCAGCTGTGTAGTTGTACTGGGTCCTGCACTTAGACTTAGAAGAGTCCCAGGTTTTGTTTACCTTTTGCTCAGCTCCCACAATCAGGGAGGGAAGGAGGGAAGGAGGGAAGGAGGGAGGGAGGGAGGGAAGGAAGGAAGGAAGGAAGGAAGGAAGGAAGGAAGGAAGGAAGGAAGGAAGGAAGGAAGGAAGGAAGGAAGGAAGGAAGGAAGGGAGGAAGGAAGGGAGGGAGGAAGGAAAGAAGGGAGGGAGGGAGGGAGGGAGGGAGAAACAGGCATACATTTAATTTTTAACTTGTTACACTTGAGTTGCCAGGACACCTAAGAGTTAGAAAAAAGCAAGACCCGGCCTTGGGAGGGGAATCTGGGCTGGAGATAAAGTCTGGGGCATAACATGCACAGAGGCAGTGACTGAAATGGGGAGGACAATCTCTCCAAGGAAATTAAAAAGAAAACGAGGATCTAACCTTTAGGAGCACACACAGATGTGGTAGAAAGGGCAGCCAAAGGATTTAAAGGAATGCATCAGAGAGCGTGAGGAAAATTTAATGGTGCAATGTTACAGAAACCAAAAGAGAAGCGGGTTTTATAAGGAAAAGAGTCATCAGTCGTGTCAATGCTGCAAAGAAATTAAAGGAGCTGGCTGACCAAGAAAAGATGCCTGATTCTAATAACTAACCACAATGAAGATTAAGATTATTCAATGAAGATAAGATTATTAACAAGAGATTATTCATTTGTTCTTTTATGCATTCGGCAAACACTGGTGGGTGGAGGTTAGGGCATAACTGGCACGAGGAGAGAGAGGGTGCTGGTAAGGCTGGCTTCCTGGGGGTACCACCTGTGTAGGCACCTGGGTCCTGCGCTTAGAAGTCTGAGACTTGGTTTCATGCTCTTGAAATTCTTAATATTTGAGCAAGAGGTCCTGCATTTTCACTTTGTACTGGATCCTGCACATTATGTAGCTGGTCCTGGACGATGGACTGTTCTTTCCTTTGGGGACGGGTGGCAGTGAGAGGGGGCATTATGTATCCCAGTGAAAGGTGGAGGTAAAATATAATTTAGCTTTGGGCATGTGTGTTGGCAGAGAGTAGAGGGTGGTAGGAGATTACCAGAACTGGGGGAGATTTACATAAGAGGGGAAAGATGAGTTCAAGGCCTCTGGTAAGTTAGACTGAATCTTGGAAAGGCAGCCAGAGTTGGAGGAAGGAGAGGCAGAAAGCCAGAAGAGGCAAAGAAGGTGCGGGGACAGGCTGAGGACGAGCCAAGCGCCAACGTACAACCTGGGCTCGTGCCTAGTACTGAGGAGCCTTAAAGAGCTCGCGAAGAGCCCCCGGGACCAGGCGCGAAGGCGCGCGCGGGGAGGCCGGCCGGGCTCTCCCGCCG